GGAAAGGAGTAGCCCACAAATGTTCAAGGAAGCAATTCCAAGAATATGGAGCAGTGAGTGAAAAAGAATGAATCCAAGCCAATGAAGAGGAAACCCTTGGTTGGGTGACAATCCTAGCGGTCCTAGAACACAGATCTCAAGCATGCTGGTATAAAGAAATAAGAGTTGAAAGATGAGGGGAGCTAGACTGTGTAGGGCTCTGTACACTAAAACAAGAAGCTTGCACTGAATCCTAGAAAAAACAGGTAACTAATGAGGAGATATCAAAAGTGGGGTAATATGAGCCATACACCAGACTAAAAAGATAATCTTAGCAACAAAATGTTGGATGGAAACAAAGACTAGAATACTTCTTCGTTTAACCTGAACTAGAAGACTAAGATGAGATAATGGAATACCAATCAAAAGAAGATTACAATAATCATAGCAGGAAATGACCAAGGCATGAACTAAGGTCTTAACAGAGGAAGTAGAAAGAAAAGGTCTGATTTTGGCAATGTTATAAAGAAAAAATTGACATGACTTTGATGCCGCCTCAATGTAAGGGAAAAAAAACAAGAGTCAAAAATAAAGCCTGGACAACATGCTTCCTTCACAGGACAAATGGGAACATTATTAATAGTGATGAAGATTGTATGTTATAAAGAAGATTTTGGAGGGAAAATAAGCAGTTCTGTCTTTGCTATGTTAAGTTTTAGCCAACAATGAAGCATCCATGCTGAGATAGCCAAAAGACACACTGCAATGCAATGTTTGATATCATAAGAGAGGTCTGGAGTGGAGAAATACAGCTGAATATCATCAGCATAAAAATGATATTGAAAACGATATGAACTGATAAGATCATGAAAGGTAATATATAAAGAGAAAACAACAAAGGGCCTAGAACAGAACCCTGTGGAGTCCAAACAAAAGGGGAAAAGAAGAAGATACATCACCTACAACTAGCACATGAAATGACCAACCTGAGTGATAAAATGTGAACCAGATGAGGACTGAACCAGTAAACCCTAGGTCATGAAATGCATCTAACAAAAAAGTATGATCAACTGTGTCAAAAACTGCAGATAGATCAAGGAGAATAAGGACTGAATATAAGCCTTTTGACTTGATCTGATTTTTGTAAGAGCTCTGTCTATAGAGGTTGTTGTTGTTGTTGTTGTTGTTGTTATCCACCCTCAAGTCAACCTCGACCCATGACAACCATGTAGATGCAACATCTCCAGGATTCCCTGTCTTCCACTGCTCTTCTCAGTTCCTGCAAATTCATATTTATGATATCTTTTATAGGGTCCATCCATCTAGCAGCAGCCTTCCTCTCCTTCTGCTTCCCTCCACCTTTCATAGCATTATTATTTTCTCCAATGAGCCATGCCTTCTTATGATATGGCCAAAGTACAACAGCCTTAGTCTAGTCATCTTGGCTTCCAGAGAGATTTCTGGTTTGATCTGTTCAGGCACCCATTTGTTTGACTTCTTGGCTGTCCATGATATCCTCAGCAAGCAAAGTCCAGATTAAAAAGGATCCATTACAGAAATACAAGAAAGTAAGTCAAGGCAACGTACATAAACAGCATGTTCCAAAACTTTTGAGAGGAAAGGCAGCAGTGAAACAGGGTGATAATTAAAAAGAGAAGATGGATCAAGCGATGGGTTCTTAAGAATTGGAGAAACAGTAGCATATTTAAACTCAGAAGGAAATGAACCAGTAGAAAGGGACAGATTAATAATATGGACAAGAAAAGGGAGAAGGGCAGTGGCAACAGTAAATAAGAAGAAAGAAGAAACAGGATCAAGAGAGTTAGTAGAAGGATTCAGGCAGTAGCTTCACTTGATTGCTTTGCCCACATAGAGACCACCAAATCTGTTCAAAGAATCTTGGATGAAAATTAAATGTGCACATTTGCTACACATTAATTTTCTGAAGGCTGCCACCATTCTGCACATTGCTAACTAGTATGATACAAGTTGCTTTAGCAATATAATTGTATTTATCATTGGAGCAATTATTACTGTGGAGTGTTGGCACAGCCAATAACCTACTTTATGGTCATAAATCCATTTATTACAGCTTCTAACTTAGTTACAAACTTGGCTCCAGCAATAACTTCAAAGTGGAACAGCCAAGAGGTTATTATACAAGTACTTTGCAATATGAGACAATGTCATAAAAAGAAGTAGAAGTTTTGAAGACTGGGATCTACCTGGCTTCCAGTGTCTCATAAAGTTTGTTGATTAGATAAGCTTTAAAAATATATTCACTTCAGGTTTTTTAAAGGTAGTTTATATAGCAAAAATCTGCTCCCATAATGGCAGTCTCCAGATGCTATGACTACAACTCTGCCACCTCTATCCATTAGCTGTGGTCACTGAGACTGGCGGGAACTGGAATGCTGAATATCTGGTGGTCATCAGATTGAAGAAGGCTGTTCCAAAAGCATTCATGAGAGTTTCATAACTAGTCTTCTACTTACAGTCTTCTGTTTTGTTTGTCCATCCATATACACCACAGTTTTGTACATGTTCCTCTAGTCAATTAAATTAAAAATAGTAAAGTACAGTGTCTCAAAAAGTTATATACAGGTTGAGTGTCCTTTATTCAAAATGCTTGGGACCAGAAGTGTTTTGGATTTTGGATTTTTTTAGGATTTTGGAATGCCTATATAATGAGATATCTTGGGGATGGGACCCTAATTCAAAATTCATTTATGTTTTATATACACCTTATACACATAGCTTGAAAATAGTTTTGTACAATATTTTCAACAATTTTGTGCATGACACAAAGTTTGTGTACACTGAACCATCAGAAAGCAAAGGTGTCACTATCTCAGCTGCCCATGAAAAAAAGTTTGGGGTTTTGGAATATTTCAGATTTGGGAATTCCACATAAGGGAGACTCAACCTGTATCACACTGCAGTATATTTTACATCATTTAACCTTCCCTTCCCATGAACTCCACTCTCTCAAATGAGTTTAGTAGTCAAAGTGTAATTCAACTTCAACCGGAAAATGGTATCAACCAAGTTTCATCAGCTATTTCAATGGTCAAGGGAGCTGTCAGAGTGCATTATATCTTAGTTTTTCCCTGATTTCCTTAACAAGACATGGGACAGGATTCCAGTTGTTAACTATCCCTGTCCATGTATTAAGATAATCTTCTGAAGCCTTTCTTCAGGTTCCATCAATTTGAGAAACCAGGCTGGTAATAACCAGGGAAAGAGCCTCCTCTGTTATGGTACTGAAACGATGCTATGTTCATGGTATGCTCACTTAATGTTCAGTCTTAGGAGCTTTAGGAAACATGTTCAAAGTTCCTATTTGCCCAAGCTTTTATCCATTTGAGTAACTGTTGTAGATTTTTTTGTTATTTTAGAGTTACTGGCTTTAATTCTAAGGTAAGAACACTAAAGTAATGATCACAGATGATCTACATAAATTCAGTATGAGGAAATTGGATCAATCATTGATGAGAATGGAAACTGCAGTCAAGAAATCAGGAGATTAGGACTGGGAAGGGCAGCTATGAAAGAACTAGGCAAGATCCTAAAGTGCAAAGGTATACAACTGAACACTAAATTGAGGATTGTTCAAGCCATTTTATCACCCTTCACTATGTGTGGGTGTGAGACCTGGATGGTGAAGAAAGCTGATAGAAAGAAGAAAATCAACTCATTTGAAATGTGGTACTGGAGGAGAGTTCTGTGGATACTGTGGCTGGCTAAAAAGACAAACAAATGGGTCCTGTAACAAATTAGATCTGAACTCTCCCTAGAAGCCAGGATGACTAAATTGAAGCAGTCATATTTTGAGCACATCCTAGGAAGAACAGGACTCATTAGAATAGATGATAATGCTTGGAAAGATAAAAGGCAATAGGAAGAGAGGAAGACCAAACACCAGATGGATAGACTCAATCAAAGAGGACATGGTCCTAAGTCTGAAGGCACTGAAAGGGCCATTGAGGATAGGTGGTTCTGGAGGTGCATTGTTCACAGAGTTGCCAGAGGTCGAAGTTGACTTGAGAGCAGTTAACAATAATAACAAAATTAACTCCAGGAAGTTCATAAAAGAACCATTTCCCATCCCTTCCTCCACCCTGCAGCCAAGTGAGACCCCTGCCAATGCCTCTTGCCAAAATCAAAGGACCATTATAAGCCATGTGAGATGGGATCTGGGGATGTATTAGGCCCAAACTATGCTTGGATTCTAAGCTATTTTAAGAAGGTACATGGAAACAACATTTTACATGGAAACAACATTTTCTCTCCTTACACAGATGGTGGTCCTCCTACCATTGGAGACACTG